GCCCCCCCCCCAAGCCCCGCCTCTCCTAAGCTCCGCCCACTTCCCTGGCTTTTCCCCTTGCTCAAGGCGCCTGCGCGCTCCACGTTCTTGCGACCCCGCCCACATTCCGCGGAGGCGCGGGTGAGCGGCTATTTGGGTCTAGGCTTTCAGGGCCTGACAGCTGCGCCTGCGCACTCCGAGGCCGGCGACGGCTCCCAGAAGTTCCCGGGACTCGGCTTCTTTCGTGGAGGCCGCCAAAACTGGGACCCAGAAGCTAAAAGGCTTCTAGGTAGCTCTGTTCCGGACCAGGAGGCACCAATAGGGGACAGAGGGCAGTGACCACCAGGCCACGGGGAGGAACCCTGCCTAGCAGCGTAGTCCTCAGATTTCAGAAAGCCGCCGCCACCCCTGTCCGCACTACGTTTCCCAAGGGCCCTTGCGCTGGGAGGGCGCGCCCACTTCCGACGAGGACTTGAAACCCGGACGTGAGCACGTCTGGCCGGTTCTGAGGAGAAAGTCTGAGTGGGGCGGAAGCAGCGGCTGTGCCGGATGCGGGGAGGCGCCGAGAGGTCAGCGTCCCGGTCTGCATGCGGGGGCGGCGGGGTCGTGAGCGTGCGCGCGTGATTTGGCGGCTGTGACCGTCAGCGCGTGGTGTGTGTGTGTGTGTGTGTGACCGGGAGGAGGAGGCAGGTACGTGTGTGAATGGGGGGGAGAGTGTGTGCGGGTGTGAGATGTGACTGGTGGGGCGCAGAGGGGCAAGTGTGTGACTGGGTCCCGTGTTTCTGCGCGTGTCTTTTGTGCACCTTGCACCGTCCCAGCGTGTATTGGGACGAATGAAAGATTTTACGTGGCTGAGAACTGGAAACGCCTCCGGAGGAGGCCACCCCCCGACACACAGCCCACACCCCAGCCCCCCACACACCCCGACTCCACCACCAAGAACCCAGTGTGGCCCAAAGCCCTGGAGTCCTGGGAAGGCGCCCGGTTGGGCCGGTGGGGCTGAAGCATTTCTTGCCTGCCCCGCCTGGAGGGTGTGGAAGTCGGGACACTACACACGTCCACGGGACTAAGTATGGAGGTAAGAGTGGCAGAGGGCCTCGGTACGGCTGCAAGAGTGAAAATTAAGGTTTGGGGGTGCTGTTCCTGGGCCCAAGTGCTGGAGGAGGATGTCCCTGGCCTCAGAGTCTGGTGGACCCAGAAGTCCAAAAATTTGGACGTTCATCTGGGGCCAGAGTGTGGAGCTGAATTCAAGGAGGAGTCTTGACTTGCCCAGTCTCCTAACCAGACACTCCCCTTCCAGGGCTGTCTGCGTATCTCCAAGGACCCAGGGGAGAGAGCATTCCCCGTTAGAACATTACCTCTGAGTGCTGTGCTGCTGTTCAAGGAGGACCTCAATATTTAATATTTTTATTTTTTAACCTGTTAGAGTCCTGTCCTACATTATCACTGTGGGATGTGACTTGGGAGGAAGGCGAGATTCACAGCTTCGTCTGGAAGTGCTGAGGGATCCTAGCCTTTTCATGGCTTAGTCATCTTTTAGTAGATGAACAAAAATACTCCCCCATTTCTATCTCACACTTCTCTGTCTCCCGCTACCCCCGCCCCAGCCAGAGTGAGTAAAGAGAGAGAAGGGAAAGAAGCACTGCTTATAGCCCTGTTGCTCTTTGCTTATTTTACTGCATGCAGTAACAATAGGTAATGTTTGCTGAGTGCTTACTGTGGCCCAGACACAGTTCTAAGACCTTTTGGGTATGTTAACACCAAACCTCACAACATTATGAGGTGGAAACTATCTTATCTCCTTTTTATAGATGAGGACACTGACGCATAGAGAGGACAAATAATCACTAGTAAGTGGAGGAGCCAGGATTCACATCCAGGACAGGCTGACTCCAGAGTCCCCCTCTGTACTGGCCCTCATGCAATCCCCTTGAAGTGGGTATTCTTAACCACTTTTGACAGTTTAAGAAGCTGACCCTAAGAGTTCAGATCCCAAGACCTCCACTGCGCAAGTTTTTTTTTCTTAAACTTTCTGACCCAGTTTCTGTTATGTAAAATGAAGATGATATTCTATACCTCATAGGACTGTTATAAGGATTAAGTGAGCTCATACCTGTAAAGCACTTCGTCTAGTCCCTGTCACATAGTAACTAGTGCTCCGTAAGTGTTCATTCTTATATTCATCATTATAATAATGCTTTGAAAAAGCAGTGGAGTTTAGTGGAAAGAAACCAGAATTAAGTCATATTTTTATCCTCTTCCTGATTGAAGAAACTTGGCTGGAGGGCTGGGGGTGGGGTGAGGTGGCCAGGGACTTCAGAGCTATAGTTTGCTAGAAAAGGAGAGAGCCTGGGTCTCCTGACAGTTTTTTGGTCCAGCTATCTGTAAGCCACATGGACTCTGTTGTAACAAAGGTAGTACCTCTTTCTGGGGAAGGTGGCTTTTTTCAAGTCTGATAGACTTTATAAGTCCTGAGTAGTTAGTTGCACATGAGGTGTTTTTCTGTTATATTCTGGTGTCTGCTTGAGCATATAACTTGGCTGGTAGAGTCACACAGACAGGTTGATGACTGGGCTCCATTATTTACAAGCTGTGTGACTTGTGCAAAAGACTTCACTTCCCAGAGCTTTCACGTGTGAAACAGTGACAGTATTCCCTATTTTCACTGAAGGTTGTGAAGGTCACATCAGAGTATGAATATATGCAGCACTCCTAATACATCTCTGTTGTTAATGAATGGGTGGCTTTGAGCAAGAGAGAGATTGTCCTGGGCCTGAAAATCTAGAGCAGAGCAGAACCCCAGCTGTAAATTATTGGTTTCCCAGGGAGTGCCTGGACTGTGAGAGGAGGGTGGAGTAGGAATAGGGGAGTGAGAACAGAGGGATCTGAAGGGAAAAGTTTCTAGGTTGTGATTATTCGAGCTACTCACCGCTCCTAGAGTCTCTCACTAGAGTCTCTCACCGTTCCTTTCTCTTCCTCCCAGCTGTGCCCTCTCAGGATGAAGCCCTTTTCCACATGAGGAGCCAGGGAAAGGAGAAGGTGATGGGAATTGAACTTCTTAAAGCCATGTCCCTGGTTAGTATTCCCTTGCTTTTCAGGATTTGGTAATGTTTGTTTCCTTCTGAAAATTGTCCCACTTTGGGGCCTGGCTCCTATTTCCTCTCTTTCTGATGAGTAATGGGGCTATAGGTAGCTTCAAACAGCCCAATACACTCTTACAGAGCTTCCTCTTTTTCCTATTCAATAATGTTTATTCTTCACTCAAGAAATGACCCACTGTGAGCCCTTCCCTTGTACTCCTTTTTTTCATAAGTATCTGACAATACAGAAATACAAATCTCCTTAGAGGAGATTTGAGAGCCACGATCTGCCTAGTCCCTAAATCCCCATCCTTCCTCTCAGAGAGCTTACTATCTGTTGGAGAAATGAAAAGGTAGCAAACATTTATTTTTACAGTGTGATCAGTGCTGCAGGTGGAGAATGGACTTCCTGTGGAGTGGAGGGGAAGGGCCATTAATAGCCCGATGAGTGCCTTTGGGTGAATTACAAAAAGGTGCCCCTTCATCTGTACTGATGAAGCTCTGTGATAGGCCACAATCTGGCAGAAGGAAATCTGCTTATTTTAGCTCCTTTTTGCCACCTTCGTGAGAAATCCTGCACAATGTTACTCGCTGTTGGAAGGAGGAGGCGTTGGGAGGGCTTGAGTCACAGAGGAAGGGATTTCTGAGTTGCATATTGAAGGAAGTGGAGGAGATCTGCAGGCGCAGGTGAGATGGGTGACATTTTCGCCAGAATAAACAAAGATTTCCCCTCCCTATTTGACTGGAGCCATAGTGTCTTAAAATGCCAGGGAATGTACTACATCCTTTTTTCTTTCTAGGATGAATACCATAATCTATTTAATCAGCCCTTTGTTGTTCCATAGGTAAATTGTTGCCAATATTTTACTATTTAATAGAGAGCGTTGCAGTTATCATCCTTGTATTTGAATTTTTGCCCTCATCTCTGATTTCTTTGGACTAAATTCCTAATTTTCATTTCTTGCAGATTAGAGTTTCTCACAATTACTCTACTCCAGAATGTTTTTAATATTAATATCTTACTGACCAATAATAGAACCTTAAGAACTATAATTCATGTTCTGATTAAACTGCTGAACAAGTGTCACCAGCAAATTAATTATTATAAAACTATAAAAATTGGTACATAAGTTTTAAAATCTAATCAAATGAAAACAACTTAGGGGCTTCCCTGGTGGCGCAGTGGTTGAGAGTCTGCCTGCCAATGCAGGGGACATGGGTTCGTGCCCCGGTCTGGGAAGATCCCACATGCCGCGGAGCAGCTGGGCCCTTGAGCCATGGCCGCTGAGCCTGCGCGTCCGGAGCAACGGGAGAGGCCACAACAGTGAGAGGCCCGCGTACCGCAAAAAAAAAAAGAAAACAAATTAGAATATTAAAATTGTTTTATTTTACATCAAAGACACAATAAGCAACTAAAAGCAAAATACCTTCTTTAAAAAAAAAAACAGATTTAATGCCACAGAATGTGTACTACCAATGAAACTTGTTTCTTAGATCATATATACATTTTAAACAAAAGCATTATGGTTATTGGTCAGAAGAATATATTTTAAGAGTGCCAGAGTATGGTATGAAGGTTAGTAACAAGGACTCTGGAACCAAACTGCCTGGGTACAAATTCTAGCTCCACCATATACTAGACATATCATCTTAATTTCAGTTCCCTCAACCGTAAAATGGGAATAATAATAGTACCTAATTTATAGGACTGTTGTGAGTATTAGTGAGTCAATATATTTTAAGTGTTTAGAAAAGTACTTGGCACATAATAAGCACTAGCTATATGTGCTACTGAAGAACTACAATATGATGTTTAATGCACAAGAAGCACTGAACATCTGGAATGTTTATATTTCCAATGGAATATTAGGTTTTTTGTGATTTCTTGGTTTTTTTTTTTTTTTGCGGTACACAGGCCTCTCACTGTTGCGGAGCACAGGCTCCGGACGCGCAGGCTCAGTGGCCATGGCTCACGGACCTAACTGCTCTGTGGCATGTGGGATCTTCCCAGACCAGGGCATGAACCCGCATCCCCTGCACAGGCAGGTGGACTCTCAACCACTGCACCACCAGGGAAGCCTTGGAATATTAGTTTTAAAAATAACAACATTTTGGGCTTCCCTGGTGGCGCAGTGGTTGAGAGTCCACCTGCCGATGCAGGGGCTGTGCTCTGCAACAGGAGAGGCCACAACAGTGAGAGGCCCACAAAAAAAAAAAAAAAAAAAAAAAAAAAAAAAAAAAAAAAAAAAAACCTACAACATTTTGCACTGAATTTGGGAGAGTCCTGGTTCTGGGTAATGGACTAAGCACGCTCCACCTGTCTTTCCCACTGAAAGCTGGGATGCATGCATGCATGAAGCATGCATGCTCCAGAATGCATGAAGAAGCAATTTGAAGTCTCTAAAAAGTACATAGGCAGATTGGGAAAGAAGCCCAAAATGTGAAGTCCCACCAGACCTGCAGTGTGATTACCTTTTTTTTTTCCTTCCAGTATCTCTTAACATGGATTCAACAAGCACAGAACTCAGAAGTAGGCATTGGCGTGGATAGAAAGAACTGTAGGAGAAACTTTCTAGTTTAGACTCAAGAAGTGGGAAAGGGATCTAATGCTCAGAATGAGGGGTAAGGGAGCAGAAATCTCCCTTTTAAAGTGGTAAGTGCACAGTGGAATGGAATAAATAAGGCCCAGTTATCTGGCCAGAGAATGAAAAAGAGGAGCCCCCTGGGAAACAAAGTACTGGAGAGATCCCAGAGAGGGAGGAAGTCACCCACATCAAGTTGTTTATGATCTCCTAAGCAGCTCACTCTGAGCTGCTCGTGTATGTATCTGACCCTGAAGAGCATACCATAGTCTATGAGAATGAACTAAGGTCTCAGGCTGGCCTTAGACCAGGCTGGCCACTGACTGGTGCATAAGTAGGACAAAGGTGAATATCACTGCACAGGGTTGAAAATGGAACTGCTGTTGAAACCACCACCCACAGAAGGCTGGTTAGAACTTGCAGCTTGAAGAAAATATCAGCCAGCATTCTCCATAGAGAATTTAAACAAGACATAGAATCTCATAATATCCAGAATGTCAGAAATATAATCCAAAATTATTCAGCTAATGAAAAACTAGGAAAATTTCAATTCGTAGGGTAAAAGGCCACCACCGGATACTAACGTTGATGTGACACCAGTGTTGGAATTATCTGATAAAGACTTTAAAGCAGCTGTTATAAAAGTGCTCCAGCAAGTAAGGTTGAACATTCTTGAAACTAGTGGAAAGATAGTCTCAGCAAAGAAATAGAAAATATGAACAAGAAATGAAAAATATAGTAACCAAAATAAGCTCACTGGATGGACTAGTGGCACAATGGAGATGACAGAGGAGAGAGTTAGTGAACTTGAGGATAAACAGACACTATTTAATTTGAATAACAGAAAAAAGATTGAACAAAGCCTCAGGGTCCTATAAGACAATACCCAAATGTTTAACATTTCTATCATTGAATCCCCCCAAAAAGAGGAGAAAATGAAGTGTAGAAAAAATATTTGAAGACATAATGGCTGAAAAATTACCAACTTTAGTGAAAGACATAAACATGTGGGTCTATAAAGCTCATCAAACTCCAATGTGATGAACCCAGAGAAATCCCTACCCAGAAATGTCATAATCAGACTGCTGAAACTGAAGACAAGGGGAAAAAACTTCAAAAGCAGCCAGAGAAAAACAGTGCTTAACATACAGGACAACAGTGATTTGGATAACTGTGGATTTCTCATCAGAAACCATGGAAGTCAGAAGTAAGAAAAGTAGAACAACTTTTTTAAAGTGCTGGAAGAAAAGAATTGTCAACCCAGAATTCTGTGTCCAGTAAAAATAGCCTTCAAGAAGGTGAAATAGTTTCTCTTGTGAATGAACACTAAGAAAATTCATAGACAGATTTTTAAAAGAAATACAAAAGGAAGTTTTTCCAGTAGAAATTATATCAGAAGGGAATCTGGAACATTAGGAATGAAGGAAGTGCAACAAAAATGGTGAATGTTTATATGTAAATGCAATAGATTGTTCTTTAGAAGTATTTAAAGTATCTTCAGCAGTTGAAACCAAAACTAATAGCTTAGGTTTGCTGAGCCAGACAGGATTTGAACATAGGTGATCTGGCTTCAGAGACCATGTTCTTAACTACTATAGCCTACTGAAATTTGTAAAATAAAATATAGGTAAAACGTTTATTGAAATACTAAACCAAATGTTTCACCTCTTCCTGGCCTCCTGCTCTTCTTTCTTTCCCATCTCTCCTTCATAATTATCATAGGTAAAAATTCTTAAGTACTTAGCCAGGTAGTGTGCCTATTACTTCATTTAATTCTCACAGTGCTACCATGAGGTAGGTACTAAAATTATTACCACTTTTTTAGGAGGGAAATCTTGAAGCACACAGAAGTTAATTGACTTGGCAAAGATCACCCAGCTAGTAAGTGACAGAGTCTGAATTCTTTGGAATAGTAATCTAACGTTTTTCTCTGGTTTTATTTAAAACTCATTCTTAGATGTTGGTATAAGTGAAATCACAAAAAGAAAAAAAAAAAGAGGAAGAAATGAAAAATCTGCTATCAACCATAGAACTGGCCTCACTTCCTGGTTGGTTAGAAATTCAGCCCATGTAACAAAACACAGGTTACCTGTCATGTGCCTACCTCATATCATCTCTTGATACTTCTCAGCAGATTATCAAAAAATAACTTGCCAAATGAGTTCTCTCCTAATCTATTTGTTTTTCAAAACAAAATAATAGTGCTGGGCATTTTTTTCCTTCATTCTTTTTAGGCATACCTCTTAATACCTCGAGAACACTAAGATTTCTTAGAGTATGTTGTGGAGATTGAAGTCATACTCATCAGGTCAGCATCATTCCTTGAAACTTTCTGTTGCAGTCCCAGAGCTCATTAGTTTTTCCATGTAGAAAGTGAGCTAACTCCTAACATAGATGAAATAATTTAGTGCTTGATGATATTGTGTTTTGAATGCAGTCAACACTTTTTTATTTGAGAATGTCTTCTCACACCATAAAATGCTTCAAGAACAGAGAGTTATCACTCATATTTTTTCTTTTTATTAATATATATAAATATAGGCAGAAAAGTGTTTCAGTAAATAACTACATGACCTTGATCATTTAGATCCTCCCAGGACAGTTACTCACAATTTCTTTTTCCCAAATGTGAACAGTATAACTCTTTACCCTAAGGCCAACTAAGTCAGGGCAGGAACACTGATTGAGCAAGATTATATTTGTGTCGTTTCAGGATTCAGTGTCTTTCATGGATATAGCCATAGACTTCTCCCAAGATGAGTGGGAATGGCTGAATCTTGCTCAAAGGACTTTGTATAAGAAGGTGATGTTAGAGAACTATAGGAACCTGGCTTCATTGGGTAAGAGTATATTCCTCCCTCCCCCTCCCCCTAGGAGTCTTTCCACTTCAGTAGCCTTTCATGACTTTATCAGCATTTTCCTACAATGTTTCTCTTCTCTCAATACCATTTAGACTGTCATAGCTCTGGAATATTCACAGCATAACTAATTTTTTTATTCCCTCTTATATGCAGGTCTTTGCATTTCTAAACCAGATGTGATCTCCTTATTGGAGCAGGATAAAGAGCCCTGGATGATGAAAGGAGAGATAACAAGAGGGCTGCCTCCAGGTAAATGCAGGATAACTAGAGCTGGGGAAACTATCCTAAAGGTGTTTCTTCCCTCTAATATTTGCTGGAAAATACCTCTCAAAGTCCTTCCCAAATTGAAACTTCTTGTTCTAACCCTATGTTTTTTAAAGATTTTATTTATCATTTATTTATTTATTTTATTTATTTTTTGGCTGCATCAGGTCTTAGTTGCAGCATGCAAGATCTTTGTTGAGGCATGCAGGATATTTCCTCGTGGCTCGCGGGCTTCTCTCTAGTTGTGGTGTGCAGGCTCCAGGGCACGTGGGCTCTTCAGTTTGCAGCATACAGGCTCTTCTAGCACGTGGGATCTTCGTTGAGGCATGCAGGATCTTTTGTTGTGGCATGTGGGCTTCTCTCTAGTTGTGGGGTGTGGATTTTCTCTCTCTAGTTGTGGCGCTCAGGCTCCAGGGTGCGTGCCTCCGTAGTTGTGGCGCGCAGCCTCCAGAGCACGTGGGCTCTCTAGTTGAGGTGCATGAGCTCAGTAGTTGTGGCGTGCGGGCTTCGTTGCCCTGTGGCATGTGGGATCTTAGTTCCCTGACCAGGGATCGAACCCGCATCCCCTGCATTGTAAGGCGGATTCTTTAACACTGGACCACAAGGGAAGTCCCTCTAACACTATTTTTTAAGTGGATCTTTTCTTCCCCACTGGTATGACATACCACCTTTACCTTTAGTGATTTCCTATAAATACCACAGTCTGTTTCTGAACTCTGTTATGTTCCATTGTTGTTTACCTAGTTCTGCTCAAGCACTGTATTGTAATCATCCCTGACTTTCAACATTTCTGAGTTCTTTAGACAGATTGGTGTTTAGTTTTTCAAACTTGTTTAAGTATTTTCCTTTCTTTAAAATGTGACTTACCAAATTAACAAGTATTATAGCTATGTTCTCTCTGCTTTTAATTATTTTTCTCTTTGGTGTTTTCTTTTTTATTGTTGTTGTTTCTTTTTGTTTTGTTGTTTATGTCTTTTTTCCCCCTTCAATTGGAAAGGTTTTAGTTCTACAACTGTTAATTTTATGACTTCACCTATTTTTAAATTTGTATTTTAAAATTCATCCACTTGAGATTCAAAACATTGTCTTTTGATACCAATATGAAAGATGAAGAAATTAGCCCGCTAATGTTACCTCCTCTCTGTTTGTCCATCACCTTCCCACTTTTACTCTACCTATTGGGATTTTTGACTCAGGTTATTTTCTTCAGTTTATTAATTTTTTTCCCTATCGTGCTTGAAAGCTGTTTTTCTGGTTTAGAAAGCCAGATAATAGCCTATAGACATATATTGCAGGGAAATGAGCTTCAAGTGAGGAGGTTAGTTTATTCTGTGGCCTGTAGTGTGGTCTATTCCTGCTTTCAGTTCTCAAAGTTTTAAGAAGTGGACGTTGGTAGGTCACTTATAGCCCTAATGGTGTACATTAATAAATAATTTTAAAAAATGAATTAAGCATCCAATTCAAGATACTAGAAGAAACAAAATGAATCTCAGGGAGACTGAAATAAGTTATATATAGTGATTTATACTGCTAGAGGTAAAAGTAGGAATAAATGAATCAGAAAACAGTAGATCTAATGAAAATAAATCCAACATAGGCTTCTTTAGAAAACCAATAAAATATATAAACTATCCAGACAAATGAAAGAAAATACAAGAAAAGAAATAATGGTAAATGACCACTGACGCCTAAGTACGTAAGAGAATCATGGATCTATTTTTGGAATGCAAGTCTCTGTAAATAATTTGAAAACCTGGATGAAGTGGATGATACTTAACGAAAATATAATAACCACAACTGACACCAGAGATAGAAAATTTAAACAGACTGGTTACCATTGAAGAAATGTTGAAAGTCATCTAAGAACTGCCTCCCCCAAGAAAATAAGCCACAACCCCAAATAGTTTTACAAATAAATTCTATAAAACCTGTAAGGAACAATATCAACATTGTTTAAAGTGTTCCATGACAGAGAATAAAAAGGAGAACTATAAAAAATGTGTTTATGAAGACAGCATAACATTTGATACCAAAATATTGCCAAAACAGCACCCAAAAAAAGGAAATTACAGAAAAATCGATTATGAATATTGGTGCAATATCTTAAGTAAAAAGTCATGTTGAAATAATATACCAGAGCCAAGGAGGGCTTATTCAAGAAATGCAAGGGTGGTCACACTAAGAACTGTCAAAAACATGTACCTTTTTGGGCTTCAGCAACTGTTTTGATTCATATGGTTTCATTTGGAAGTTTCCATTCTTTTGGCATTAAATAAGGGAGATGTTTGCTTTCTTAATATCTTTCAGACTTGGAGTATGTATGGATGAGAAAGGAATTATCTCCAAACCAGGACACCTATGAGGAAAAATTGTCCCAGGCAATGATAATGGAAAGACTTACAGGCTGTGACCTCAAATGTTCCACATTAGGGGAAAACTGGAAACGTGAAGACCTGTTTGAGAGGGAGCTGGTAAGTCAGAAGACACATTTTAGGCAAGAGACGGTCAGTCATATAGGTACCCTTATTGAGAAAGGAGACCACTGTAACAAATCTGGGACAGTTTTTCATCTGAATACATTATCTTATATAAAACAGGTATTTCCTATTGAAGAGAGAATATATAATTTTGACACAGATAAGAAAAGCTTAAAAGCACATTCCTTTGTGAAAAAACACAAACAAGTCTATGGAGAAAAGAAACTTTTGAAATGTAATGACTGTGAGAAAACTTTCAGCAAACTCTCAACTCTTACTCTTCATCAAAGAATTCATACTGGAGAGAAACCCTATGAATGTATCGAATGTGGGAAGGCCTTTAGCCAGAGTGCCCACCTTGCTCAACATCAGAGAATCCACACAGGAGAAAAACCCTTCGAATGTACTGAATGTGGGAAAGCCTTCAGCCAGAATGCTCATCTCATTCAACATCAGAGAGTTCATACTGGAGAGAAACCTTATCAATGTAAGCAGTGTCATAAAGCCTTCAGCCAGCTTGCACATCTTGCTCAACACCAGAGGGTTCATACTGGAGAGAAACCCTATGAATGTATCGAATGTGGGAAAGCTTTTAGTGATTGTTCATCTCTAGCTCATCATCGAAGGATTCACTCTGGGAAAAGACCCTATGAATGCATTGACTGTGGGAAAGCTTTCAGGCAGAACGCTTCTCTTATACGTCATCGGAGGTATTGTCACACTGGAGAGAAACCCTTTGATTGTATTGATTGTGGGAAGGCTTTCACTGATCATATAGGACTTATTCAGCATAAGAGAATTCATACTGGAGAAAGACCTTACAAATGTAATGTGTGTGGGAAGGCTTTTAGCCATGGCTCATCCCTGACTGTCCATCAGAGAATTCACACAGGAGAGAAACCCTATGAATGTAATATCTGTGAGAAAGCCTTTAGCCATAGTGGCTCACTCACTCTTCATCAAAGAGTTCATACTGGAGAGAAACCCTACGAATGTAAGGAATGTGGGAAAGCTTTTCGGCAGAGCACACACCTTGCCCATCATCAGAGAATTCATACTGGGGAGAAACCTTACAAATGTAAGGAGTGCAGCAAAGCCTTCAGCCAGAATGCACACCTGGCACAACATCAGAAAGTACACACTGGAGAGAAACCATATGAATGTAAGGTATGCGGGAAGGCCTTCAGTCAAATTGCACACCTTATTCAACATCAGCGAGTTCATACTGGCGAGAAGCCTTATGAATGTATTGAATGTGGGAAGACCTTTAGTGATGGCTCCTATCTTGTTCAACATCAGAGGCTCCACTCTGGCAAAAGACCGTATGCATGTCTTGAATGTGGGAAGGCATTCAGACAGAGGGCATCCCTGATCTGTCACCAAAGGTGTCATACAGGCGAGAAACCTTACGAATGTAACGTCTGTGGGAAAGCCTTTAGCCATCGTAAATCCCTTACTCTACATCAGAGAATTCACACAGGAGAGAAACCGTATGAGTGTAAGGAATGCAGCAAAGCCTTCAGCCAGATTGCCCATCTGACGCTGCATAGGAGAATTCATACTGGAGAAAGGCCCTATGAATGTAAAGAATGTGGAAAAGCCTTTAGGCAGAGTGTACACCTTGCTCACCATCAGCGAATTCATACCGGAGAGTCATCCTCAATTATTCCCTCCTCTTCACCTGCATACCACCAGGTCCTCTAGCTTCAATATTCTAAATCTATCTATCCACTTCTTTCCAACTCGTGCCATTATCATGGTCAAAGATGCAACCATCTTGTTTGGATTTCTGCATAGCGTTGCAACCATTTTCCCTCTTGCTTCCCTCAAGTGTATTTTTAGCACTGTAGCCAGCTTAATCTTTTAAAAATAAAGAACTATATTCATGTTACTTTTCCATTTGAAACACTTGTTTTGAAGAATATGTTAGATAATCCACTTAAAGGGTTTAGCATACCTTCCTGGGCTTATAATTAATGCCATTAAGGTAGAGTTTACCTTACAGTTATGTTCAGCTGCAAGTGTAATGAACCAGTAGGTCAAGACTAAGGAGCCTACAAATTTTAGAGTAGACGGAGAACTCTTTACTCTCCTGATAGGTAGGAAAAATGAACACATTCAGAATTGAAAGATTGTATGATATACAGGGTAACATGGTGGCTTGCACCTCCCTCTATGAATAAATATAATGACGTCTAGCATTGTTGTTGAGAGAGTCTCACCTCACCTGGCACTTAGAAGTGATAATAGGCCAATTAGAACAAAAGGTAGAATGTAGGACTAACTAGGGGATAGTATTAAAAATGAACTAAAATGAACAAGCTAGAAAACTTGAATAGGTTAATACCATGAAATAAACTACAAAAGGTAGTTCAACACTTTCACCTGTGGAAAAGCATCACAAACAAGCCCTGTGATATTTAATTGTTCTAGAGCATAAAATAAATACAGTAAAGCTTCCCATTTTGTTCTATGAGACTGACAAGACTAATACCAAAACAGGAGAACATACATATTGCAGTTGGCTTATGAATGTGGATTTTAAAAGTTAAATTTTTTCTTTTTTTTTTTTTTTTTTTTTTCGGCATGTGGGCCTCTCACTGTTGTGGCCTCTCCCGTTGCAGAGCACAGGCTCCGGACGCGGAGGCTCAGCGGCCATGGCTCACGAGCCTAGCTGCTCCGTGGCATGTGGGATCTTCCTGGACCGCGGCATGAGCCCGTGTCCCCTGCGTCGGCAGGCGGACTCTCAACCACTGTGCCACCAGGGAATCCTAAAAGTTAAATATTTTTTAAATAATAAAAAACAGTAAATGAAAAGCTAGACATGTCTCTGTATAGACAGACTCAGTCTGGCAAAGATATTTCTCCCCAAGTTAAATATGTAAATTCATTGATAGTCCAAAAAAAGTCCCTATTTGTTTTTAAGTTGACAAGCTCATTTTGACCATCTAGATAGTACTGTGATATAGCAAAGAGTGTAGTACTGTAGTAATCATTAAATTAACATTAATGGAGCATTTACTAATGTTCCAGGCATTGTTTTAGGTGCTGGGGATACAGCGAGGTGCAAAATGTACAAAGTCGTTTTTCTTCACAGATCTAGTGGGAGAAGACAAACTAAAAATTGAAATACTATATAGTAAGTATGTGACATGTACATACTTGTACATGATGAGAAATGATCTAAAGAGGGAGCCAGGGAGTGCTGGGAGGAAGTGCTTTTCTCCCCCAGAACATATGGGCATTAGAACCAAGGGACTAGGGAAAAACTAGAAAAAACTCAGCCCCAAAGGGCACAATGAGAATAATCACGAGAGTCTCAAAGCAGATAATTATGATGCTCTGAGTATTGCAGGAAGGGAGAATTGATGGCTTAACAAGGTTCATGAGAGTTCTGTTCACTCTTTGTCAATCGTGCTTTAGAGGCTGGTGGAGGGTTTTGTTTTGGGTTTTGTTTTGTTTTGGTAGTGGTCTTATTGAGATAATTCACATACATACAATTTGCCCACTTAAAGTATATGATTCAGGGAATTCCCTGGTGGTCCAGTGGTTAGGACTCGGCACTTTCATTGCCATGGCCTGGGTTCAGTCCCTGGTCAGGGAACTAAGATCCCGCAAGCTGTGCGGCGCAGCCAAAAAAAGAAAAGATATATGATTCAATGACTTCAGTATGTTCACAGTTGTGCAACCATCACCACAGTTAATTTTAGAACATTTTCATCACCCAAAACGAGATCCCCTGCCCTTTAGTAGATACTCTTACACCTAGAGGAGAATACTTACCTGGAGCACCTCCTACACCTGAAGGTACCTGGAGTACCCAGAGCTCTCGGGTTTCCTCTTGGTTGCTGCCTGTGGCCACGTGATGGGAGCTCTTATCCAGACGACACTGGAAAATGGAGCTGTGGGGCTTCCTCTTTGCTTCGGCATCAAGGCTAGGAGATGGACGATCTTATCCAGAGCATGTAGGGGGTTTTGACTGCCCTTATATATGGTAAAAAGGATTTTTCATTTCAGTGGGGCAAAGACGGATTGATCAGATGGCCTTGGGACAGTTAGCTCTCTGGAAAGACATAGATCTATACTTTGCACACTGATGAAGTTCTGACAGATTAGAGATCTAAAGGTACAATATTAAAGTACAAGAAAAATTTAGAATATTTCTATAACCTTGGCTTGAGGCAGACCTTAAGCATGACACATAACCCAGGAGCTGACATTAAACTGAGTAACACTTCTGTGTGGAAAACATCAAAGTTAACATAAATGAGAGACTGAAAATGTTTGCAACAAATATGACAAAGGGCAATAATCCCTGATATTTTTACAAATCAGTAATAGTAACATCTGCAACTCAGAAAAATGGACAGAGCTAACAGCCTCTTTAAAGAAGATGAAATAAAAACAGCTAAGGAATATTACCCACCATCATTAGTAATCAAGGCAATGCAAAATAAAGTGATGATACATTGACTTTTCCCCACAATAGATTTATTTTAAATAACAGAAAAGTGATAATATCCAGTTTGGGTGAATGTGTGAAAAACAAGACAGTTCCATTGTTTGTTATATAAATTGCTGTATGTATAGACCATTTGAATCAATATTCCTCAGAAACCAAAGTGTACACAGGTAGGTAAATGTATAATGGGAAACTTTTTTTTTTTTTTTTTTTTTTTTTTTTTGCGGTACGCGGGCCTCTCACTATTGTGGCCTCTCCCGTTGCTGAGCACAGGCTCCGGACGCGCAGGCCCAGCGACCATGGCTCATGGGCCTAGCCGCTCCGCGGCATGTGGGATCTTCCCGGACCAGGTCACGAACCCATGTCCCCTGCATCAGCAGGTGGACTCTCAACCACTGCGCCACCAGGGAAGCCCAGGAAACATTTTTAATGATAAACTCTTAGTAACTTAGGGTAATGGGCAAATAAGTAAGTTAATTATGTTGTATTCTTTCAATAGAATTATATGCAGCTGTTGAAAAACTATAAATGTGTATATAGCCATAAAAGATAGTTGTGCTATATTAAATGAAAAGAATTTTTTCAGACCTGTATTCTAGTATAAATTCATAATCATAATATCAAAAATAAAACCAAAAATACATGTTTTTCTGTTTTCCTCTGCCCAGATTTCCTTGCCTTCTTCTTTTTTTAAATTTTATTTATTTCTGGCTGCGTTGGGTCTTAGTTGCTGCACTTGGGCTTTCTCTAGTTGCAGCGAGTGGGGGCAACTTATTGTGGTGCACAGGCTTCTCATTGCAGTGGCTTCTCGTTGCAGAGTGTGGCCTCTTGGTGCACAAGCTTCAGTAGTTGTAGCATGCAAGCTCAGTAGTTGTGGCTCATAGGCTGTAGAGCGCAGGCTCAGTAGTTGTGGCGCATGGGCTTAGTTGCTCTATGGCATGTGGGATCTTCCCGGACCAGGGCTCGAACCCATGTCCCCTGCATTGGCAGGCGGATTCTTAACCACTGTGCCACCAGAGAAGTCCTTGCCTCCTTCTTTTGACTACATTCTCTCTTTTCCTTTGAGTAACTGGCCATACGCTGTCTTACAGTTCTGAGGGACCTAGTCAATCAGATGCTCTCTGGAGCTTGAAAGGGAGAAGGATCTGTTCCCTAAAGGGATGATGCTGGTGCCCTTGTGGTTGTGATCTTTGGAGCCACCCTAGTTTTTGTGCTTTCCAAGGCTGCAATTCCTTAAACGACTTTCCATCCTCTCAATACTTCATTTTCTGCTTGTTTGCTTGCAATTAAAGAAACTTAACCAAGTCAGAGTTTGGTATGAAGATTATGTAATAGGCAATAGAATCTTTGGAATATTGGAGGTGTTAGGGATTGGTGTTTGGGTGAGATGGGGCAAGTGAGACTCCTGTTTCTTTCCTAGCCTAGGAAAGTAACAACTCGTGGTGTGCACTGGGCAAACACCCAAGTGAATTATTATTAGTTGTAGTCGCCTGAGGTGAATAGAGGTCTAGAGTCCTGAATAATGACAGTTTCAAGAGGAAGAGGAATGCCAAGACCAAAGAGTGTCTATGATGCTGGTAGCTAACTGTTTTGGGTAATTTAAAACTCAAATCTTGAACTTTCTGAACTACTAGCAACTAAGGGTCTTTGTATGATATCGTTGAAAGATGTCTTATACTGTTTGAAGTCATAGGGTTGAGATCACGTAAAACCAAAGTGAGAAACTCCTTTTATGGGTTGCTAAAGAGGGATGCTGGTTAAATTCCGTATTTTGTTGTAGAGTGGTTGTAAGGCCTGAATTGTATCCCTCCCACCCCCAAATTCACATATTTTGAAGCCCTAAACCCCAATGTGACTGTATATGGAGAGAGACGGCTTTGGGGGAGGGAATTATGGCTAAATGAAGTGATAAGGTTGGGGCCCTAATCTGATAGAACTGGTAACCTTATAAGAAGAGGGAGAGACATCAGAGGTACTAGAGAGAAGTTACAGTGACAATTGAGAAAAGTTTCTGGCAGTTTAGCCCTAGAAGAACTGACCTTGACCTTCATAGGAAGTTGGTCTGGAGATGACAAGGAGCCACATGGTAAGTTGAGGGAACCAACATTTCTAGATTACAGGAGGAAAAATTCCCACC